AGCGAGGACCCGTGCTGTACCGTACGCCGTGGGAACCGGTCCTGGCGTGACAGGTAGGTCTGACTTACGGTTTAGGAGTCCCTGGGACGCGATCTACGATGAAGACCGGAGTCAGAAGAAGCTGGACGGGAGGAAAGGCCTGAACAGGATTCCTGGACACAGCTAACGTGGTGAAAACCTCGTGGATACTGAACCCAAGATGGCATCTGAGAGAACCCGGAAGTGGATCCTCATTCAACGCTGACCTCGAACAGTAAGGAGCAAGGTAAGGGGAGTGCCTTAAGTAGGCTAGGGGTAGTAAACCAGCACCTCCCACAAATCCAGGCAAATTGCCTTAATACATATAATGATATATACATATATATTTATGTATATATATATATATATTTTATTTTTCCCCCACACCCTCAGCATCACCACCCCCCACACCACCCTCAGCCTCACTACCCTCCACACCCTCAGCCTCACCACCCTCAGCATCACCAGCCCCCACAACCCTCAGCCTCCCACCACCACCCTCAGCCTCATCCCCCACCAGCCTCATCCCCCACCACCCTCAGCACCCTAAAATACAAGGTATTTAGCCGATTCACTGGCAAAACAAGCTGCCATCAGTAGTGAAACCTTAAACATTGATGATCGTATGGGTTCAATGCATGTTGACGTCATAACTAGATGACAGGCTAGAGATAATAACGACTTAAATGTCGTGCAATGGAGTCAAGAAGCTCCTAGTGAGGACCTGATCACATTTCAAAAGAACGATCCCGTTCTAGGCATATTCTATAGACATATAGAAAACCCTACTGCCTGTAGGGTGTGTTAGCCTGTGTTAAGACAGAAATTAAAAGTGTATATTGCAAGTCCCACTCAGAACAAAAGTGACTCCATTTTGTATTTCCAGGCTAAGACAGACACAAAATTTCTCTCTGTAACTCTATTCATTCAAGTCTGAGCTAAGGAATGCGTTATGTAAACAAGATAAGTGATAAGGCATGATATCTAAAAGCAGAAGGGGGATGGAATACTAACCCAGAGACAAATGTATACATAATTATATATACATATACACACTATCCACTTATAACTTACTATTTTATATTAATCATATATAATTAGTATTATGTTAATAATACAGACTATTCATGGATAAATATCAATGAAGCAATATCATATTATTGAATAATGTTAGTGGAATATAATTAACCTTAAACACACAAGAAAACCAGACACCAATGACAGATTACACTAAGTAATTAATTTTACTTTCTAAAAAAAAATAAAAAAAATAACAGAACAACACTAGCTCAATTGTAAGCAAGAGGTGAAGGAGAGTTTAGACATGTCAGAAAGTTAGATTTAAAGGTATATGCCTGACACTAAGTCTGGGTAAGAGAGAAACAAAGCCTTTGAAATTGATAGGAATTTAGATTTATAGCAGACATAAAGATAACCAAAAATTAAAAAAACGTCATCAATCATCAATCAATTTCAAAAATTTCATCAATTTCAGTTAACCCATTATGCTAAAAGGCAAATGGACCCCCCTGACAAGAAATTTTGGTGATGTATTGCGCCATCTACTGACCAAAATCTGTTTGGAAGACATACCTACAGTTCCCTATTGGTCTTATCAATTAGTGACGTGCAGAGAGTTTGGCCCTTTAAAAAGTAAAGACAAAGGGAGGAGGGGAGATTCGAACATTCAGTCTTTGGGACATTCATACTCTTGAACCACACTCAAACTTTCTTTGAAACACTTGGACTGCACTCAAGAAACAACACTCTCCTAGACACCTAATTTTTACTATTATTTTTTTTTACAACTAACACCACTTTTATCTATTCTATACAATTCTCTACTCATCATACTTGCATTCAATTCCTGGGACAGATCTACACATCTGATAAGAAAATATACAACCTACCTGGCAATTATGCTGGTTTTATTTAATAAATTTTACTAATAGCAGGAATATATATCTGGATAAATATTGGTCAGATTTCAATCATTAGAAATCTTAGTTAGCTAAGGAATATATGGTTATAAAAATTCCATTCCTGCAGGTGGAATAAAGATGATATATTAACGGTAAAATTTACCAAAAGGTTAGCATGCCACACTTTATCCATAAATACTGACTTGTTCTGATATAAGATAGTGAATCTTATTTAGGAAAGTTAAAATTCAGCAAATGTAAAATCTGGTAGAATTATTCTTATTGGATGGTTCTAGGAAGGGTAAATTATCTGGTATGAACAGTACCTTAATTGTAAAGTTACAATATAATAGGATATATTGCCTATGAGGATTGTAGCCAGCAGTGGAATGGTTAATCAGTGTAATCTGACTGTCAGCAGGAGTTTTTATTGCCTTGTGCTGCACTGTTGTGAAGTTCTGTTTTCTGTGTGAAGTTTGTTTCTAAACAGTGCCCTGTCATAAATTGTTAAATTGCTGACAACTGGTCGCTTTTAGACGCTGTATTGTGTTTAAACCATTGCCATATTGTATCTAAATATTCACTGATTGTCACGCATGTTACATCATATTATTATTTTTATTATTGTCACAATAAATTATATTTTTATAATTAAATTGTGATCACTGTGTGAAATAAAATCCTCTAATGAGCTTCCTCTAGGATCTGAGAGAATTAAAATCATGAGTAATTCTCATCTTTATATTATCATTTTCAGGGAACAGTGCCAAGATATCAATTTTGATATAATACAAATTATTAAATTCATTTTTGATAATTTTTATGAAAATATAATTTTAATATTTATCAACCCATAAATATCCGCACAGTGAGAGGGTGTGGTTATCATCGCACAACATCAAACTTAAAGTTCCTAGCATGAAGTTTGCTCCCAGATTCCTTGGTCCATTTCGTATCCTTCGTAGAATTAATCCTGTTTCGTATTCTCTGGCTCTCCCTGCCTCATTACGTATCCCTAACACATTTCATGTTTCTTTGCTCAAACCACTTATTTGCTATAGGTATAATATCCTAACTATTCCACCACCCTCGTTGGTTGTTTCTGGACAGGAGGAGTATGAAGTCTGTTCCATAATTGATTCCAAGTTCTCTCGTGGTTCATTACAATATTTGGTTGATTGGAAGGGCTATGGGCCTGCCAAATGTTCTTGGGTCCCGGCCTCTCGATATTCATGCTGGTCGCAAGATTCGTTATTTCCGCACCTGGTGGGCGGTCCTCAGGTGGAGGGTAATGTAGCATATTCATCCTCACCTTGCAGTATCTGCGCTCAGCGCCAATGTTTTAGTGTACCTGACTCCTGCAACATGTTGGTGGACACTGGCCGCTGCGGATCTATGCCAAATTAAAGCCCAACGTCCGCCCATGGTGATGACGACGTCGGCATGCGTATGGCATCACATGGGAGATGTGCGCATGTTCTGGGGTCAAAAGCCGATTTCGGCAAATCAGATTTGTAAAAGGCTTATTTAAACGCATTTTTACTTCTCCTCATTGCCCGGTCGTGGTTCCCCTTAGTGGTTGTCCGAGAGTGTGTTCCTGGTTATTGACTTTGGCTTCGTTTGGACTTCCCTGTATTCTGGTATCCCTGACTTTTGGCTTTCTCTCATCGTTGTGTCCCATTCTGTGTCCATGACCTCGACAAGTGTTCTGACTATTCTTTTGTAAGTCCGGCCACTCTAAGGCTCAGTAAGATGTTACTTTTTAGTCCTAGGTGTGATACAGTTCTACGTGCTGGATAAACTGGTAATCCTGACAGAAACCAACAGGCCCCTGTGAAAAAATTGCTATGCCCCAACCTACCCATGTGTCTCATCCTTATCCAGCCCTTCCATGTGTCTCATTGCACCCCCAAGCCCCATGAGTCTTATTATCCCCCTTACCTCCTCAATGTGTCTTATTCTCACCCAAACCCTCCATGTGTCTCATTTTCCCTTCCATGTGTCTCAATACCCCCCAGTCCCTTCCATGTGTCTCAGATGCGCTGAGTTCCTTCCAAGTGTCTCCATTCAACCGCCCAGTCCCTCCCATGTGTCTCAATCGCCACACCCCAGTCCCTTCTATGTGTCTTAATCCCCCCCAATCTTTTCCATGAGTCTTAATTTCCCCCAGTCCCTTCCATGAGTCTCAAATTTCCTCCGGTCCCTTCCATGTATTTCAAATTCCCCTCCTCCAGTCCATTTCATGTGTTTCAATTTCACCCCAGTTCCTTACATGTGTCTCTCCCCCATCTCCCTCTGTGTCTGCTTTACATGCTCTTCCCTGTCCATGTAGCATGGCAGAGCAGACTGCGGTATCCAATTTCACAGGAAGAACTCTCAATGAACACTTCCTGTTAGACGGGGTAGTGTGAAACAGATCCCTCTACCCGCGGTCTGCCCGGCCATGCTACATGCTGTGACCGGCAGGAGGGGTGTGCTGTGCAGAGGTGTGTTTATATGTAATGTTGATGTTTGAATGAAGGTGTGTGTTTGTAGTTTTGAAGTTTGAAAGCAGGAGTGTATTTATGTGTCATGATGACGTTTGAATGTTGAGATGTATGCACATATACACATACACACAAACACTTCCCCACACGAGCACACACACACGACACACATACAGATACACAGATACAAACACTGAACACATACAAATACACAGAGGTACAGGAACACACACTGACACACATGCATATACACAGACATGAACACAGCGACAAACATGTTGATCAAAATTTACACTTTTTCAGACACACTCATGTCTCCTAACTTTTTGCACCCCTGTCTTCTAACTTTTGGGTGCATGGCAATCCAAGTAAAAGACACTAGTGGTGCTTTTTGACAGCAGTGTAAACACTGACATTTTTAGCAAAGGCAGCATTTAAACTACCCAGGCTGCAGCAACGGGATATATGCTCCAGAACAACTACATTAAACTGTAGTGGTTCTGGTGCCTATAATGTTCATTTAAAGTGTGCACATTTGACCTACTGCATTTTGAAAAGATTGCATAAAAAACATACCATGCTTGTTGTTAATTTCATTGGATGCCATTGCATCAGAAATTACTGGAAACAGTAATGCCTGCACTCCCAGACCTTGTACTGAGACGACATCCTTCATCGCCATTAAGAACTGTTTCGCTGAAGAAAATCCATTGAGAGAAAGAGGTTGCTTAAACTTAAAAATATATTTTATCTGAAAATGAAAGATGGATATTCCATCTGCATAGTCTTTCAAAACATGTGCTATGTTTTCTTTTATTTTTGTGTTTGTTAGTTCAACTAGAGCTTCCCTTTTGGGTGCACATGGCTTACTCTCACTTTGTGTAATGCATATAGGGACACAGTTTGCTTTTGTAGATTCCCTACAAATCTCTGCATATGTAAAGGGTGGTTTCACTCCAGAGTGGTTATTGTGTTTTGTAATGTGACTTTCTGGTTCTATAATCTGTTGGGAACTGTTCTTTGGTGAATTTTGCAGACTTGGAAAATCATTTTCTGTACTTTTCTGGGTCCTTTGTGTTTCACCATTTACTTTACAGTCAACAGGTAAGGATAGTAAAGGTTGCTTCATGGTTTCAGCGCTTGCCACTTTTTGTGTCTTTTTAAAAATTTGTTGGAAGTCCTTCTTTGGTGCATTTTGTTGATGTGGAATAGAGTGTGCTATATTTGTTGGGGTCTTTCGTTTTTTTCCATTTATTGTACTGCCCGTAGGGGTGGGTTGTGTAGGATGATTCATAGCTTTATCGCTTGTCACATTTTTAATTATTGCTGGAGCATTGCTTACTGCAGATCTATTGACTGCTGGGTTCTGAAAGTCATTTGATACAGTTCCACACAATAGATTAGTGTTCAAACTCAAGGAAATCGGTCTAGATGAAAATGCTTGTTCTTGGGTAGAACATTGGCTTAAAAATAGAGTACAAAGAGTTGTCGTTAATGGTAAATTTTCAAGCTGGACAGAGGTGGCAAGTGGTGACCCTCAGGGGTCTGTTCTGGGACCCCTTCTATTTAACATGTTTATAAATGATCTTGAAGAAAGCATTGCAAGTCATGTTTCAGTATTTGCAGATGACACAAAACTCTGTAAAATAATACAATGTGAGCAAGATATTACCTTGCTGAGGGATTTAGATAGACTGGGGGACTGGGCACTCAAATGGCAGATGAAATTTAATGTTGAAAAATGCAAAATTATACACTTCGGTGTAACGAATACACAAACAACGTCTACCCTTAATGGAAGCGAATTAGGGATGACAACACACGAAAAGGACTTGGGAATTGTTATAGACAACAAACTATGCAACAATGTGCAATGTCAATCAGCAGTGGCCAAGGCCAGTAAGGTATTGTCATGCATGAAAAAGGGCATTTTTTCTCAAGACGAGAATATAATTGTGCCTCTTTATAAATCACTGGTAAGACCACATATTGAATATGCTGTGCAATTTTGGGCACCTGTTCTAAAGAAGGATATTATGGCACTAGAAAAAGTGCAGAGGCGGGCTAAAAAATTAATAAAAGGAATGGAACATATCAGCTATTAAGAAAGGTTAACAAATGTAAACCTATTTAGTTTAGAAAAACGTCGCCTGAGAGGGGATATGATAACATTATACAAATATATTCAGAGCCAATACAAACCATTGTGTGGAAATCTATTCACAAACCGGACTTTACATAGGAGACGAGGTCATGCGTTTAGATTGGAAGAAAGAAGATTTTGTCTAAGGCAAAGGAAAGGTTTTTTTTACTGTAAGAACAATAAAGATGTGGAATTCTCTGCCTGAAGTGGTTTTATCAGAGTCCATACAGATGTTCAAACAGCTACTAGATGCATACTTGCAAAAACAGAATATTCAAGGATATAATCTTTCAATGTAGGATAATAACTTCTTGATTCAAGGATAAATCGGACTGCCATTCTAGGGTCAAGAAGGAATTTTTTTCATAGCTTGTTGCAAATTTGTGCTTCAAACTGGGTTTTTTTTGCCTTCTTTTGGATCAACATCAAAAAACAAATGTGAGGAAGGCTGAACTTGATAGACGCAAGTCTCTTTTATGTAACAGAGAGACATCTTGGAGGAGTCTGACTCCTCTTCCAAGGAGCAAGGCCGCCTGGCTAAATGCCACTGGAAAGGCTAAAGGTCAAAAATCAAGACTCCCATAAAGTAGGTAAAATGTACACGGCCCGTAAACCCTCCAACTTATGGCGCTTCCTCGGACGAGGGCGGTCACCTAAACAGCAATACATGCTGGGTACGATGAGTGGCAAACAGAAGATTCCCATTCTGATGACAGGATTTGGGGCCCTAACTCCTTTGTGAAGGAGACCTTTGTGGGAGAGCCCCAGCATGTGGGTGATGTGGAGGAAGAGCTGGTTTCAGCGCAGCCGGGTTGCAAGCTTTTTTTTTTACACCACGGGCCAACGCTGTTTGAAACATTTGCCACCCACGCTCGGGAGATTGTACACCATCTTAAATTATGCACTTCTGGCTACGGAAGGCACTGGACAAGGAGGTCCGCAAGCGGCTGAGATCAGAGTGCCCCAGACCTTCACTCCAGATAAGTTCACCTTTACCCCAGAATTTGACCAGATGTTGCTTGCCTTCATGGCACGAGGGTTTAAAGGAGCCCAAGATAAGCTCCTCAATGCTGTCGGGTGGCTCACCCGGGTTCTGACCCTAACAGATGAGGCATACACCCAGGCTGACTCCTTTCAGCAGACAACGCGCAGGTCCTACACTGCCTAATGTATGCTAAAACAACCAAAGAAGACATATATAGCACTTACCTGCAAGAAAGGGCAGAAGCCTTCAGCAGCTGCCTGCTGGAACTCTGAAACAAAAGGAATGATGGAAAACAAACGGGTGTGGCAACATAAAACAAACATTTAAAGGAAACCTGGAGACAGGGAATAAAAGGAATGAACCCAGAACCCCAGCATAAAGAAAACCAGCCATAGAATAGAAAACCAGAAAAACAAAACAAGAATTGTAAAGAGTACTGGATACCAGAAGCCATAGCCAGAATGATCCGCAGCTAGGAACAGGATGTGACACATGGGCCCCTGGAATGAGGAAGTGTTACCTCTCAGCTTGGAATTCATGGGTTAATTGGTGTATGGGATGGAACCTTAATCCTTTTACGGCCTCTGTATCCTCCATATTGAAATTTCTTGTGTCTTTGTTCTCGGAAGGTATGTCCTACCGGTCTATCAATACCGTGCATTCTGCAATTTCAGCAACTCATGTTCCATTACAAGGGAAACCGATAGGTCCGAATCCCTTGGTTTGTAGACCACTTCTGGACATTTGGTTATGTAGACTCCTGCACCGAATATTCCACCATTTGGGATGTGGCCCAAGTTCTCAGTTTCATAAAGGAGTAACCTTCTAACAGCAAATTGTCTTTAGACAGCAGAGTTTACCCTCCTTTTTATGTCTGGTATCTTTCCGTCGGATTTCAGACATTCAAGCACTCCTCGTGGACGCCTTCTTGTTTTCTCTGGAAGGTGTCACACTTCAGGTGTCTCGACATACTACACTGACTGAAGGTTGTTTTTTTACCCTTTTGAACCCAACTTTGCTTGGTCCAGACAATGCACGCCTACGGCCATGCTACGATTACCTCACCCCGACAATTATTAATGTCCTACGTTAAGTCACATGGGCCAGTCTCAGTTACCACCTTGGCATGCTGGGTACGATGGTTTTTATCTCTTGCCGGGATTGACCCTTCCTTTCATGCACACTTGGTTCGGGGTGCGGCGGCCTCTTCCGCCTTTACAGCAGGGGCCCCATTATCAGATATATTGTTCTCGGCAAACTGGTGACAAGAACCCACCTTTCGGATGTTAGACTCTCCCCTGTCCTCCATTGCCGTTTTCTCTCTATTACCTTAGCGTTAAAAATGCAAAATATGAAGCCTCCTGTCATGTGATAAAATAGAAGATTATGCTAACTTTAGTGTACCGATAATCTTAATAATGACAGGAGGCGAGTATTACCCCCCTCCCCCCTATTGAATTTCCCTCCCATCCAGGTGGGTTCGTATCACCAGGTAGGTGATGTATGTTATCAATGTGGTACTTGTCGTTTTCCTCTGACTACGTCATTGACTCTATTCACTTTTCATACATAGTTGATATATGTATAGATATTCTATATTAGGCAGCTATATTATGGTACGTAGGTAAAATTATATAGACCATGATAGATTGTGATAGTACCAAATGAATGTGCACCTTTTATGTGATGGTCATTCATATTGTTCAGGTTTATATTTTATATCACTGAAACACTCTCGCTCTCTTTCAGCTGAAAAGACACAAAGAGATCTCCTACATCAAGCGTACACGGATATTAATTGTTCCCAGTTTTGAATGAATCCAGCCATTCTTCATCGTTCCTGGAATTTGAACTGTCTTCATTATTCTGTTTGGTTCTGCAGTTGATTGTGTGATTTGTGATTTCACTGTTATCAAGAGGAAGTTACTCAGTGGTAGGCATATATTATACTCTTTGCCTGTCTCTGATTGGTTCCTTTTTTTCTCTATATGTCTTTGGTGCTATGGAGTAGTAAAGGAAGATTATTAGTACACTAAAGCTAGCATAATCTTCAATTGTTTCTCATTAAAGTACACATGCAGTGTGAGCTTGTATATCAATTTTTTACAAAAAAAACACTCAGCAGTATGTGTAATGTATGAGTTTTCAGCAGAGCCCTCTATTAATAAATCTTAAAGGGACACTATAGTCATCAGAACTACAGCATAATGTCCTTGAAGGCTTTTCAATGTAAACACTGCACTTTTATAGAAAAGGCACTGTTTATTTTGGTGCCTAGTAACACTTTTAGTGGCAGTAACCAACCCATCCCTTTCCACTGGCAAGGAGGAGGGCGGTCAGCTAAACAGCAATACAAGGACTATAGCAATCAGGAATACATGTGTATTCCTGACACTATAGTGTTCCTTTAAGTAAATTGCAAAAAAAACTTGTAGTAATAAATTTTAAGTAAAGAGTTAAAAACCCAGTAGCCTGCAGTGAGTGAATCAGAAGATTACAATATTTAAACTCACAGTAATGTATGGTATGTAAGCAGATTGTACACATCCACAGCACTAAAGCCCAATAGCAGTGTTAAGTAAGTGGAGTCATACATGCATGATCTTGGATTTTATAAAACAGACCAAGTAGAAGGACAGATGGATAGTATTTTTTCACTTGCACTTGAGATATGTGTGTTTTGTGTATGTATTGGTGCATTCAGAGTCGATTGTGACTCCATTCACTATTAGATACTGATTACACCATTCCAGGTTTCACTCACCCACTTTGTTGTGATTTGAGTGAATTTTCCTATATTTTTAAAAAAATAAATCAACAGGGAATCAAGACTCAGGACTTCTTGACTGTGGTTTCTATTGAACATGCTTTATGGAATTAAAGGTACATTTTAAGCAAAATAACCACTACACAGTGCTGTGCTGATTATGGTGTTAGAAGTGCCCTAGAACATCCCATTGTAAGTAGTCAAACCAAATTAGAAAAATTTCTTATCCACAGTCTGCGGGCATCGCCTCTACTACATCCAGCAGAGAACTGATGGTTCAAGGCTTGTCTCATTGATCAAGAGCAATCAGCTGTGGTCTGCCAGGGCACTCCTATTACCATAACTACTACAGCATGTTTGGAGCGCTCCTTTAAGAACAATAAAAAGAAACCAAAAACTCTGGAGATATGGATACATTTTATGTGTTATGAGAAAGCACATAGAATAGAAAAATAGCATAGTGGATGGGCACAAGGCTAAAGAATTATAAAATACAACAAGAGTCTTTGTCAGTTTGCCAAGATTGTTGTTTTTCTCCAACAGTGCTACTTGCTGAATTAGAATCAAACAATGGCTTTTGCAGTGGTATTAAGGGGTATCCATTCTTCTCATGACGGCTATGGGAATGAGAATGAAACATATCCTGATTTAGCTGCAAATGTGAGGATCCTGGTTCATTTCCTTTCCTCATTAATTCTGAAGACAAGAACTCAGTTTGCCCAAGACTGTTGTAAGTGTGTGACTTATGCACTTTTTTGTGTAAACATGAGAGTGAAGTTTCTGTATTTTCTGGTTCACTTGTGTCATTGGACTCATGAACTTTTGGTTGCAAAATCTGTGACTGTTGATCTGCTTGTTCTACTGTCACTGGGGTAACCCTGTCAGGCATTTTCTGATATGCCATAGATGATTGGTATTCTGTTTGTACAGAGGATCTGAGATTACAATTATGTACATTGTTTCCGGATTGGTGTTCTTTTTGACCAGAATATTTCTGGTGATTAAATACAGGTGTTTTATGTTGTGAGTGTGATAAGAGATACTCGTTACCAGAAGGATTTTTTACATTGGAATTATGAACATTTTGTAATTTTTCTGTTGATTCTGTAACCTGATTCCATCCTTGATGGACGGAATCACGTGTTTTCTGTGATAAATGTAATGTCAAATCATGAACATTTATCTGTGCTTGTAGATTCAGGCTTTCTGTTGTTCCAGGTGTCAGAGTAACAGATGATCCTGAAATCTGCATGGAACAATCATAAACAGTTTTTTGTGACTCTAATTTTTTACTTTCCACAGGCCCAAGAGCATTTAGAAGATTGGTATTAGTTTCCTCATGTTGTAAATGTGATGAGATTTGCTCTTTCTGAGCAAGAGATGTTTGGGGAAAAGATCTGTTTATTTTCTTTTGAGAGTGTGATGGTGGTGCTTCACCGTGTTTTGCCTGCACTGGCTGGTGCTCAGTTTGCCCAGAAATTACTGGAGGTTTTAAAAGATTATTTTGCATGTTAGATGTTTTTTTGAGCATGGAATCTTGAACTTTATGTTGCTGTAGTTTCAGACTTACTTCTGGCCCAGGTGTATTCTGAGGAATTGAATCATATGCATTATTTTGTAACATGGTGGAGCTTTCTTCATTCTGACTAACAGGTGTTTGTGGAATGCAGCAGAATATTTCCTGTTGAAGTTGTGATGATACATATTCACTTTGTCCAGAAGCTTTTTGGAGTTTGAATTCACTCTCTTTGGGTTCTGTCTGCTTTGTTAGTTTTGTTTCTGTTGGGACATGTTTAGAATCATAATTTTCTTGTCTGCTATTTAAAATTTCCATTTTCTTTTCTGACAAATCTTCAGCTTGTCCTGAAATTACATTAGGGATAATTTCAGCATCTTTATGGTGTAAAAATAACAGTTGTGGCTGTGTTTGTTGAGGAACCATTTGACCAGCAGCATTATTACATGGTATATTTTGTGGTGAAGAAGATGATGATGGTGTTTCTGTGAAAATCTTAATAGTTTGTAAAGCAGGTAGCTGCTTAAGTTTTTTCAAAGAGTCAGACAATGTTGGCCAATCTGTCTCATTTGTATGTGAATCAGATGTTTTCAGGTGGGATATTGAAAGAGAATCTTTTGCCTCCTTGTTAAATAATGCATCACCTTCTTTTTGGAGAGAAGGTAATAATGGAGATTCTGTCCGTGTGGACCCCATGTCGGAGTTTTGATAAGGTGTACTGCAATATGTCATATGTCTCAAAGTAAGGTGGCCAGATGATAGAGCAGGCCATTCTGTTTCATCTGGTTTGTTGACAATTCCAGTGATATTTTGGTTTGTAATCATGGTTTTGTTGCTGTTCATAAATGTTTTTGACTTTGTATTTGAAGCATTTAATGATGGACTTGCACTTTGAAAAATAACATTTTCTTTTGATGTGAAAAGGTTACTCTTGTGGATCAAATGTGTAGAACCTAAAACATAAAGTAGGAGATCTGTTAAATAAAAGTATTATTTTAATAGTTCTTTAAATGATTTAAATAATAGTTCACATTTTATAATTCTGCTAAATATGTAGAATTTTAAAAACAGTCATACATCAAATACATACATCATACATTTTAACCTTTTAAAGACAAGGGCTTTTTTGAGATGCGGTGCGTTCGTAACAAAGGACTTTTAAAAATGTTTGCTATGTGTTAAAGGGTTACTATGCATGCACGATGCATGGAATAGCCTTCCAGCTGAAGTGGTAGAGGTTAACACAGTAAAGGAGTTTAAGCATGCGTGGGATAGGCATAAGGCTATCCTAACTATAAGATAAGACTAGGGAATAATGAAAGTATTTAGAAAATTGGGCAGACTAGATGGGCCGAATGGTTCTTATCTGCCGTCACATTCTATGTTTCTATGTTTACTATAGTGTAAGGAATACAAATCTGTATTCTACAGATGTACGTAAAATAACCACTACAGCTATTGCTGTAGTGTTCTAGTAACTATTTAAATACCTGGACCATCCCTAAATGAAATTAAGAAACAATAAAAAAAAGAGAGAGATTTAACCACTGTAATTCCCTTAGCATGCCGGGCTGTGCCTGACCCATCTTCACAGACTGAGATCATCGATTTTGATGACCTCAGCCGATGCAGTAAATGGCCACGCTGTCCAAATTAACAGTTCCACATGCATGAGACTTATGCATTGAGTCAATCAATCTCTGGAGGGCATTCAATGTCTCCATGCTTTGCTAAATGTTGGTCCTGCAATGTTTGCAGGACCAAACCCAGGAAGTCCCACTCATGGCAATCCAAGTAAAAGACACTAGTGGTGCTTTTTGACAGCAGTGTAAACACTGACATTTTTAGCAAAGGCAGCATTTAAACTACCCAGGCTGCAGCAACGGGATATATGCTCCAGAACAACTACATTAAACTGTAGTGGTTCTGGTGCCTATAATGTTCATTTAAAGTGTGCACATTTGACCTACTGCATTTTGAAAAGATTGCATAAAAAACATACCATGCTTGTTGTTAATTTCATTGGATGCCATTGCATCAGAAATTACTGGAAACAGTAATGCCTGCACTCCCAGACCTTGTACTGAGACGACATCCTTCATCGCCATTAAGAACTGTTTCGCTGAAGAAAATCCATTGAGAGAAAGAGGTTGCTTAAACTTAAAAATATATTTTTTCTGAAAATGAAAGATGGATATTCCATCTGCATAGTCTTTCAAAACATGTGCTATGTTTTCTTTTATTTTTGTGTTTGTCAGTTCAACTAGAGCTTCCCTTTTGGGTGCACATGGCTTACTCTCACTTTGTGTAATGCATATAGGGACACAGTTTGCTTTTGTAGATTCCCTACAAATCTCTGCATATGTAAAGGGTGGTTTCAGTCCAGAGTGGTTATTGTGTTTTGTAATGTGACTTTCTGGTTCTATAATCTGTTGGGAACTGTTCTTTGGTGAATTTTGCAGACTTGGAAAATCATTTCCTTTACTTTTCTGTGTCCTTTGTGTTTCACCATTTACTTTACAGTCAACAGGTAAGGATAGTAAAGGTTGCTTGATGGTTTTAGCGTTTGCCACTTTTTGTGTCTTTTTTACAATTTGTTGGAAGTCCTTCTTTGGTGCATTTTGTTGACGTGGAATAGAGTGTGCTATATTTGTTGGGGTCTTTTGTTTTTTTCCATTTATTGCACTGCCCATAAGGGTGGGTTGTGTAGGATGATTCATAGCTTTATCGCTTGTCACATTTTTAATTATTGCTGGAGCATTGCTTACTACAGATCTATTGACTGCTGGGTTCTGAAAGTCTTTGACCTGAATACCGGAATTAGGATTTTCTTTTGGAATCCGTGTTTCAATTGCACTGTTCAAATTTTGCACCTGTGAATTTTGTGTTTTGTAATTCATATATTTTTTTAAAATACATTTCATATTTCCATTTGAACCACTAGTAACTTTGATACTTGGTATTTGCTGTAACAGTTGAGGTATTTCTTTATGACCTAGAACTTTGCTACATTCCTCTAAATCCATCTTGTATTTATCCTTGAAGAGTTTTTCAAGAGTTGTCAACTTCAGTCCTGACATGTACTCATAAAGAATCTTCTGAATGGCTTTCATAATGTTCGGCATATGAGACAAATCACATTTGTCAGTGTTTTGTTGGCCTTTGATTGAAGACGTTTTTTGTTTTACCGAAAGTTCCGGATCGGCCTTTTCAACCTGTTCAGTTTTACTGCTTTGTAACTTAGTTACCATATTTGGTAACAAGTTGCTTTTTTCATATTTTTGTTGGACTGTGTTCGCATCATTTGAACAGTTTATTCCACCAGCTGTAATAGAAGCTCTTAACAGGCTTCCTGGTGAGGATTGACTAGGGTTACTTTCATCATGACTTTTAGCAGGTGTGTTTTTCTTTATCACAACACTATGGTCCACCTTTTTGGATTGTGCAGTTTTACAATTTGCAGAAGGATGCTGCTGTTTTGCACTGTTCTTGGATGGTTGTTTCCCTTTATAAAGTTCTTGTGAAGCACCCTTGTGACTATTTCCTTTTACACTGGCTGGTAAAGAATCTTTAAACATGTCCAGTTCTGTTTTTGATGTACTAAGAATAACGTCTTGTGATTTATAAGTCAACCGTAGAACTGTAAATACAAAAACAAAATGTGTTCACTCTTGGAATATTTTGGTACATACAAAATGCTGTACAAGTGCTTATTGGTATAACATTTGATAAATCAAGAACATCCTCCTGGTTTCAGCAACATTTCTACAATAATGTAGTGCCCTCTCCTTTATTTAAAATAATACCAATCAGCTTTCTGCAGTATAAACCTGCATCCTGAACACACCATGTCATATTTATTTATTACTGGTATTTATAAAGCGCCAACATATATCGCAGCGCTGTACATTTGGCCGCAGCACAGTACAATTGGCATACAATGTGTTCCTTGATTGACCTAGACATTTATGTCTGGTTCTGCCTTGTTTTACATCATTATACTTTCACATCTTCTGTTAGTCATCTCCAGGGAACATAGAAACCACTGTTTTCCACCTCAAGGCATCCACTAACTATATAATTTCCTCAGGGCATTAAAGAAACACTGCAAACACCATAACCACTAACCAATTAAAAACTAATTGTCACTTGATTTCAGTCTAACTTCCCTGCATAGAGCATACTTCTCAACCATCCTGATTTCAGTAGAACAGTCCTTATTTTTAGGTTCTATATCGCCATCCTTTGTTCCCTGCTGTACCCTAAATGCATAGTGCAAGCACATAATTTGCACTCAGAGCCTGCAGAGAGCAATGATTAAAGGAACACTATAGGGGCAGGAACACAAACATGTATTCCTGACTGAACCCTGCAGACAGCAAGGCTGGGTTTGAACTCAGCTCCAACATCCCACTCAGGTTCTCTTCTGTGATATCCACCAGGGGGCTTCGGTATCTGTCTGCATTATTCTGCTTGCTGACCCCTTCCCTAGATTAAGCAGTGCTGACCCACCTGCAGCTCTTTTCCACTTAGGGTCAGCTGAATCGAATTAGCAGGCTGTAAAAACCAGCCCTTTCTGAAACCTAGCATCTGGTCATTTTTTTTTTTTTTGCCTGTTTAGGGTTTCCTGTCGAATCTTTGCTACGTTACTGACTGATTTCCTGGACTCTGACCTCTGCCTGATTTACCAACTTCGTTACTCCGCTGCCAGCCATGATATCTGCTTCTCGTCTGACCCTGCCTTTGGATTTCCCCTTAATCTGTACTGTGCTTCTGGTTTTTGCCTCCTTCCTGTGCCATCTCCTGCAACTGGGCTCCAACTCCTGGTAAACTGTAACATAACAGGTGACTGTTACACTGACCCTAAAGTGTTAAAACCACTAACTAGCCCCCCTGGCTCCCTTCAATATAGTAAAATCTTACTTGTAATCAAGTCTGCAGATGCTGGCTCTGTCCCTGATCTGCCTGCTTGGCTGACATCATCAGAAGTGATTCTCTGATCCAATCACAATGCTTTCCCATAGGACTGGCTGAGACTATCAAGGATGCAAATCAGGAGCAGAGCCAGCACAAGTCAAACATAGCCCAGGCCAATCAGCATCTACTCAAAGAGATGCATTGAATAACTGCATCTCTATGAGGAAGGTTCAGTGTCTGCATGCAGAGGGAGGAGATACTGAATGTTTGGATGCATTTTAGGCAGCCATGACCCAGGAAGGATCTCTAGCAACTATCTGAGGAGTGGCCAGTGAAGTTATCACTAGGCTGTAATGTAAACACTGCATTTTCTCTGAAAAGATAAGTGTTTACGTCAAAAAGCCTGAAGGGAATGATTCTACTCACCAGGACAAATACAATAAGCTGTAGTTGTTCTGGTGACTATAGTGTTCCTTTAATCTATTTATGACAAGTTATTTATTCAATTGCTTTAGAAGATGTTATTTCAATATTCACTTTCTATCCATTGGTGAAAGCGCAGCCATCCCATTATTGTAACAATCACTGTGGTCTTTCATTTTTCCCTAGCTTACTCAAGAGGGTTGGCCCTTCTTTGGTGCACTATACACATTGCAATACTCTCCCATGATGTTGGCACACAAACTTCTAACAAGGGTTTCTTCATATGCACTCTCAGCATGCAAGGAATCTGCTTGCTAGAGGATGTAGCACTGAGACACAGAGCAGTTGAATTACCTCTAACAGGGTTCACCATTCCCCCTGACACAGAGTTGTTGGCACATACCTTTATGCCACTGGCATATAAATCAATGCTAAAAAGTGACTGAAAGGTAAGAGGAATATTTATATTTGATAGCAATTTTGCTAAAACACATTTGCTTCAATTCAAGGGTATCATCGTCAGAATGAAGTGACATATGACATATTTTACATGGCTTGATTCATTTCTTTATGATGTTTATATGAAAACAATAAATAAAACATTTAATGGCCTTCAGTAAGGATTATGCTACTATACCAAGGTGTATCGCAAATGGGGGCAGCGTGGTGGACTATAGCCTTAAATCTGTTTACCCTAAAAGGCTGCACTGCTCTATGTGCCCCCTATCCCGGGAGCGAAAGCAGTGCAGTAATAGAGACACAGGGAATATGACATTTTATCATATTCGCTGCGTATCCTTATTATTGTGCTGCTTCCTGTACTTATTCAGGGGACTGAGAAACAACAGCTCACAACAACATTGCAAAAGTGCATGGAGATCTGGAAAAAGAAGAGTAGTGCTTGCAGAACTACAGGAGTCTTGCAGCTGCCAGCCCTAAAACAGATACTGGACTTGCCTCCTGCCCCCCACCTTCACAATGAAGGTCAATAAGGAAGCCAGTATCCTTTTTATATAATATAAGTATGCCTGTTTGTATGTCAGCTTTATTCATTAAATTGAGAATTAAAAGTGAATTAAAAGAAAATTTTGAGGTTGAGGCCAGAGTATCCAAATCGAAAACATAGTGGCATTTGCGAATTTTTTGATTTTGGAATTTTTTACCTTAAATTTGAAATTCACTTTGAATTCTCACTGTAGTGATAACCATGTGTGCCTGTATAAATATGTATACCTGTGTGTGTCTCTATTTGCCTACCCATGCATGGGGACCTGTCTGTGTCAAAGACGTTTTTTTGCTTTACTTAAAGTTCTCGATCAGCCTTTTCAACCTGTTTGTGTCTGTCTGTTTCCTTCTGTCTGTGTCTGCCTGTATGTGTCAGTTTGTACCTGTCTGTGTCTCTCCGTGCCTGCCAACCTATATGTGTGAGTAAGTGCCTGTGTATTTGCATTTGCCAGTCTGGGTGTTTGTGCATCTGTGTGCTTGTCTGTAAGTAACCGTGAGTGTGTCATGAGGTGCTTGATGAGTGGTGTTTTAAGGGGATACGGAATTATTTGTGGTTTCAGGTCTCCCGTGTTTTTTGACCATCTATCCAGGTAACCAAAAAGGAACTTACACAGCCTAACCTAACAATCTACTCCCAGTCTATAGGTGGAATTGAACAATGTGGAAGCCATATTTTGATCTTAGCAATTTATTTTAAGGAGACATTTGATTCAAATCTATGTTTAAGTATAGAACAATACTATAATTTTACCTGGTTTTGTTCCTGGCCCAGGTAGGGAACTTTTAGGAGACTCAGAAACTGTCTGGTGATTATTACCACTTATGAATATGACCTTGTGTTCATTGGGTGAAATACACTTTATCAGGCTCCCATTGGGGGTGGTTTTTAACTCAACTAAATTTCTCATATCCTCTAATAGAAGTTTTAACGAACTGTAACCATAATTTGAAAGCTTAAACTGATATCCATGGATCTGGTGAAAGAGTCCAGCAAATTCTTCAGTAGACACACCCCCAGGCTTGTGCAGTACAACAATGAGGATCTCCGACTGCAGAGCTGGATCCATGGCTCTCCTGCAAAACAAAAGAGCAATATCAGTTTGTGAAGTGTAATGAAAACCTCAGAAGATGCATACATATACACAAAACCTGCACTTTTATTTTGGCTTATTTCCAATATTATGCCTGATGTCCGATATCAGACTGAATGTACACTACATATGGAAGTATACCGGCACTCTGTCTTCCCAAATAAACCTTTATTCCATCTTTGTCATAAATACATTAGCGTTTCAGTTCTAGAATAGAACTTTCATCATGACAGATAAAAATCCTTAAAAATCACTCATGATTTTTTCCTGATGAAAATTCTGTTCTGGAACTGAATGGTGATATATTTTCTGACAAAAATGAAATAGATTAGCCCCAGAAAAACAACATTCCAGCTGCATGACTAGCAGCAATGGTAGACATATTTAAAGATGCAGTCATTTTTACAAACTAATGCATTTGAAAGCAAGGAGGTATAGGGTACTCTCTGGATTATCAACTTTGCACATTGGCATCCTATAAAGCAAGATGACAGTGAACAGGGTAAGAGGGTGGCCAGTAATGTGATTTGTGTCTCTGGCATTGCTCAAATGGGCAGACCTGCCCAGGACCGATGAAAGGATTTTTGGCTGCACAGGTAAAGATGCATTTTGCTGCCCGCCCCCCCTCCCAAATAGGCAATTAAAAAAAAATAATAATAATAATAATACAATTTAAACAGCAATGTTGGACTGATCCCTAAACTACCAAAGACCCTTTACAGAAACCTACTGCAGGGGTAATATGCTTTAGCACTGTAAGTTCCTTCATGACCACTATAGCCCGCAGAGTAAGTGTGCCGAATGCCTCTGTTTCTGGGACTCATGGAGGGGCTCTGCAGACTATGGACTGTATGTTGCAAAAAATGTAAAAATCTTTGATTGCCATTTACTATGAAGTAAATGCTTAATTCAATTATCTCCACTTTATTCAATTAACAGTTCATACTCAGACTTGGTGGTGCCGTGGAGAGAACTTATTCTGCCAATCACCCCCTGCAGATGTAACCTGTATAAATATGTGTGAGTTGGTTGCATAAAGTACACTCTGTTTTCACCCATCAGCAAGTATGTAATAGGACAAATTAGCTTACTCATAAATAGTATGTTAATTTTTTTCTCATTTCAATTTTATTGATTTTTCATAAAATGGGAGAAGGATATAGAAAGAAAAAGGTTAGGGAAGGCAGGGGTAAGATACAAGAACAAAGCATATTATATAGAGTAACATTTATGTAAATAAGTCTATCATTGTAACTTTAAACATCTATTGTAGAGATGTAATGTAAGTCTCTGTCACACATAGCTTTTGCTAATATAGGAGAACGAATTTGTGGTGTCAACATGTATGTATTATTTAGAAAAGGGTGGGCATAGAAAGGAAAAGAAGGAACTAAGACGATAGTAGTAATAACAAACAGTTTTAGCTTAGTCAAGGATCTCACTCATGGTGTAATGGTCTTTTGTGTATTTTAATTTTTTTCTACTTGTTTTAGTTTTTTTTGGTTATATTTCAGACGTGTACCTGCCTTGTATAGATTGCTAATACTTCTATATTTCAGACCGTCATCATAAATATCTTGTGTTATCTTATTAAACTCCCTGTGAACCCCCCACCTGAATCCATGTCCCCCCCCCTTGTTTAATTTTATTGTATATTCTTATTTATCAATTTGCTTTGCCCTTTTACTTTTGGAGAGAGAGAGACACTTATGCCCAGTTTATGTTTCTTTTTTTCTTATTCTGTTTTGTCTGTCCGTTTGGGGGTTGAGATCTTTACCTTCTTTTCTTTTCCTTCCCTCCTCTTTTCTGGCCCTCGACTTGCTTAGTCTGGACCTTAGCTATGCCTGATTTAATTATTGCGTGATTGAGAGGGAAGGAAAGTAATCATGATGGTATTTATTAGGTTATCATTTCCATTTTGCATATCCATGTATCCCAGTCTTCTATTTGGGTATATCTGTTTCCTAAGTTCACCAGAATACCCCTTTCCATTCTTGCTTGCCATATAACTTGTGTTATTAATTCTTGAGTGCGTGGAAATATCCCTGTTTTCCAGTTTCGTGCTAAAAGTAGTTTAGCTGCTGTAATTATATGTAAAATCATCATTAATATTTTATTTGGTCATTTTTGGCCAGTACAAGTTTAGTAGAACCCACTTCTGGCTTAAATAACAATTTTTATTTCCGTTATTTGATATATTACCTTGATTACATCTTTCCAGAATTTATTTATGGGTATGCACTGCCACCAACTGTGGATTAAATTGCATTCATTAATATTACATTCTGATGACTGATTTTTTTTTAAACGTTTCGGTGTTAGGTACCATCTGTTTGAGAGTTTAAATTGGGTTTCCATAAGATTTAAGCAGTGTACATATTTATTCAGTTTATTTAGAGAGCTTATCCGCTCTTCTTCTTCTATATGTACTTATAGTTCTTTTTCGCATTTATTAATCAGTTCTATCGGTTTATTGTGTCTCCATCTGTATATAACTTTAGCGTATTTTGCCATTAGGTTTTTATAATTCTTTAATTCAAGTAGATGTTTGAGGATTGTAATTTTCTCCCCCTCATTTTGAAGGAGATATTCTGCTAAAAAGCCATTAATTTGCAGAGAGTTAAAAGTGTCCTGGGGGGGGGTCTTGAATTCCTCCATACGTTGATTGAAGGTTTTAATTTTATGTTAGACCAGTATATTTTTAAGTTGCCTTATGCCCCCAGTCTTCCAAGTGTCTATTTTTATGTCGTCTAACATATCTGAAATACTAGAAAAGGGGAGCACATCTATTATTCTATTTCTGAGCCCTATGTTGTTTGAGAATTTCACCAACTCGTTAACTCTTTGAGTATCTGAGATTTAGTTTGTGCCTCTTTGATGGATTTTTTTGTTCTTGTCTAGGACCCAAAATAGTGACGTTAAATTTCCTACCCCAATTTTAGCTTTTTCCATTTTATACCATGTTTCTTGGATTGCAGCAATATTTTGTAAAAGCAATATATAAAAAAAGTCTGCTAGCTTGATAACATTGTAAGATTTCCAGACACCCCAAACCTCCATCCTGCCTTGATCTATCCAAAACTTTAATTCTTGCTTTCTTGCCGCCCCATACAAATGTAAAGAAGGATGAGTGTAATAAAGATAGCCAGTTTTCTGGGAAATTAAGTGGGATCATTCTCCATAGATACAGTCATTTTGGTAAAATGTATGCTTTTAGGATATTGATCCTACGTGACCAGGAAAATCCCATACCTTTCCAGTCCCTTAAGTTTTAATTTGTGTTAGTAATGGTACAAAGTTGGCTTCTACTAGATCTTTTAAAACTGAGATTAATGTTATAGCTAAATATTTTAGCCTGTCCTTGTTTTCTAAAAGCCCAAGGTTTTGTACAAGAAAATGAATTAAACTTTTGTTCAACTTTTTGGCTCTAAATATTGATTTCTCTATATTCATTTTAAATCCTGACACTTTGGAGTATTTATCTCCTTCTGAAGCTCTGGGACTGAGGTTTTTGCTTCTTCTACTGTTAGTCATTTGAGTAAATATTTAATTTAGGTTGTCCTAAGGAGTTCGTATTTTTTTAATTTTGTCTTATTAGAATCGCAAGGGTTTTTTAACACCATTATGTACAGCAAAGGGGAAAGCACCCTTGTCTAGTCCCCTTTTTAACACTGAAGTTTTGTGATGTGAATCCTGACCCTGTTACTTTAGCTAATGGAGAGTTGTAGAGAGCGGATATATCTTGTAATATTGATCCAGTGATTCCAAATTGTTTTAAAGTGGCAAACATGAAACCCCATCCAACCCTGTCAAACGCTTTCTCTGCATTTGTTAACAGTAGCATTACAGGGGTACCATTATTCTCTGTTTCTTCTAATATGTTTATTATTTTTCTAAGATTGTTGATTGAAGACCTCCCTGCTATGAATCCTACTTGGTCATTATTAATATTTTTAATCTATCAGCAAGGATATTAGTTAATATTTTAATATATGTATTGATTAATAATATAGGTCTAGAATTGCCAATTAGTTCTAAGTCTTTATCTGCTTTTGGGATGGGGACAATATTCGCTCTCAACAACTCTCCAGGAAATCTTCATGTTTCCATAATATTGTTCAAAATGGAGGTAAGTTCCCCTTTTAGTTGGTCTTTAGTTTATATGAATTATTTCTGAAGCCATCTGGGCTTGGGGCAGTATTTATTTTAAGTTTATCTATGGATTTACTAACCTTTATTTCTGTTATAGGCTGGTGTATCAGTTTTAAATGGTCGGGTTGGATTTTTGGCATGGATAAGTATTTGAAGAATTCCTCAATCTCTTTTTCCTTGCCATATATTTCTTCTGGTAGATAATATAGATTTTGATAAAATCTCTGAAACGCTCTACCTATTTTTTTTCTGAGGCCATTATATAGGTTTGTCTTTTATTTTAAATATTACTCTTTTATGTTTCTCATTTTTTAATTTATTAGACATTAGTGTTTCTGGCTTATTACCCTTTAGATACCACTTGGATTGTAGTGCTTCTAACTGTTTGGTTGCTTTATCCATTAGCTGAATATTGTTTTTCTGTTTCTGCAATCTTCCTTGCAATTTGTGTAGAAGGTGTTGTTTTATTTTGCCTCGTATATTCGCTTAATGTTATATATAGTTTAAAGAGAGGCGATAATCCTTTTTATTTGCAGTGGCTACCATTTTTATCAAATGGCCTCTAGCAATGCTTTTATAACCACACACCACACCGTGATATCCGGTGTACCTTTGTTTTTATTTTCTAAAAAGAAAAGATTTGTAATATGATTAATTTCTTCAACATTGTTTTTTTTTGTGTAATATAAAATCTTTTATAAGCCATTCTTTACGAAATGTATCAAAATTATCTTTGTATTCCAACATGATTGGACTATGGTCTGACCATGCTATTTCCCGTATCTCTATTCTTTTAACAAGATATAGCATGGTCATGTTACCCAGGATAAGGTCGAATTGAATGTTCTAGAATAGCATATATAATCTAGGTCGGAGGGATGAAATGTTGTCCATATATCTCTTAGATTATGATTATTTAGTAGGTTTTGCAATCTATTTTCAATTATTTTCCTGCGTACCCTGTAATTCTGGCTCTGTCTTTCAGAGGGTCCACTACGAAATTAAAGTCCCCTCCCCCCCCTGAAAATTAATACCAACCCTTGTTTAATCTGCTCTTTTTTCTTAAACACTTTTGTGATAAATTTTATTGTAGATTTATATGGTGCATACATATTAACTAATGTGAATAGCATTTATTTCACATATTAAAATAATGTAACGTCCTTCTGGGTCTAAGACTAATGTTTAAATCGTTGGCAACAAAAGTGAGTACACCCCTAACTGGAAATGTCCAAATTGAGCTCAACGTGTCAATATTTTGTGTGGTCACCATTATTTTGCAGCACTGCCTTAACCCTCATGGGCATGGAGTTCACAGAGTTTCACAGGTTGACACTGGAGTCCTCTTCCACTCCTCCATGATGACATCACGGAGCTGGTGGATTTTAGAGACCTTGCGCTCCCCCACCTTCCGTTTGAGGATGCCCCACAGATGCTCAGTAGGGTTTAGGTCATCACCTTTACCTTCATCTTCTTTAGCAAGGCAGTGGTTGTCTTGGACGTGTTTTTGGGATTGTTATCATGTTGGAATACTGCCCTGCAGCCCAGTCTACGAAGGGAGGGGATCATGCTCTGCTTCAGTATGTCACAATACATGTTGGCATTCACGTTCCCTCAATAAACTGTAGCTCCTCAGTGCCGGCAACACTCATGCAGGCCCAGACCATGACACTCCCACCACCATGCTTGACTGCAGGAAAGAAACACTTGTCTTTGTACTCCTCACCTGGTTGCCGTCACACACGCTTGACACTAACTGACCCAAATAAGTTTATTTTGGTCTCATTGAAACCACAGGACATGGTTCCAGTAATCCATGTCCTTAGTCTGCTGTCTTCATCAAACTGTTTGCAGGCTTTCTTGTGCGTTATCTTTAGAAGAGGCTTCCTTCTGGCCATGCATCAGCCATGAAGATCAATTTGATGCAGTATGCGGCGTATTGTCTGAGCACTGACAGGCTGACCCACCCCTTCAACCTCTGCAGCAATGCTGGCAGCACTTATATGTCCATTTCCCAAAGACAATCTCTGGATATGACGCTGAGCACGTGCACTCAACTTCTTTGGTGGACCATGGTGAAGCCTGTTCTGAGTGGAACCTGTCCTGTGAGACCTCTGTATGGTCTTGCTCACCACGGTGATGCAGCTCAGTTTCAGGGTCTTGGCAATCTTCTTACAGCCTAGGCCATCTTTATGTAGAGCAACTATTTTTTTTTCAGATCCTCAGAGTTCTTTGTCATGTTGAAATTCCAGTGACCAGTACGAGATAATGTGAGAGCGATAACACCAAATTTAACACACCTGCTCCCCATTCACACTTGAAATCTTGTAACACTAACAAGTCACATGACACTGGGGAGGGAAAATGACATTTCCACTTAGGGGTGTACTCACTTTTGTTGCCAATGGTTTAGACATTAATGGCTGTGTGTTGAGTTATTTTGAGGTGACAGCAAATTTACACTACTATACAGGCTGTACACTTACTACTTTACATTGTAGCAAAGTGTCATTTCTTCAGTGTTGTCACATGAAAATATATAATAAAATATTTACAAAAATGTGAGGGGTGTACATGCAGTGCTGTTTAGGATACTGTTTTCTAACTGAGATTTGTGATCTACAGAAAACATATTTCAGACTTAACGCAGCACTGCACCTACCCCTTCCCTGCAAAATGAGTATTTCATAAAGATAGAATACTTATATTGATTGTTTTGGAAAGTCATTGAAATTCCAATCCAGTCAAAAGATTAACTGAGACAAAGCAGGGACTACTTAGTCTCAGTATATTTTTACACCTGACCCTTCTTGGTGTGTAAATCCCCTAGCTGCCACCAGTGACGGAAATTGTCTGTATTGCTGGAGGATCCCGCAAGAACTCTCTGCTGTACTACTGTGCAAAAAGGCCAACCAGATAATGATGGCAGTGCCCGCAACAGATAAATAAGGTAAGTAAAACTCACCTTTGCCTGCTCCTCCCTGGCCATTGAACTCTCAGGGACGATGTCATTGTCGGGGGTCTTTGCATATTATGCAAAGTGCCAAGATGGTAACAGTGCTGCTTTAAAGGGACACTATAGTCACCAAACCAACTTTAGCTTAATGAAGCAGTTTTGGTGTATAGAACATCTCCTTGCAGTCTCACTGCTCAATTCTGTCATTTAGGAGTTAAATCACTTTAATTATGCAGCCTTAGTCACACCCCCTTGCATGCAATGTGTACATCCTTCATAAACACTTTCTGTAAAGTGTAATGTTGAGAGCTTGCAAGACTTTGCTGGAGCCTCCTGTGTGTGATTAAAGTTAAATTATACAAAGCAAGTGGTAAAAACATCTAAGTTAAGTAAACATCTGATTGCAAATGAAACCATTTGTTTATGCAGGCTGTGTGAATCACAGCCAGGGGAGGAGTAGCTAGGGCTGTATGGACAGAAACAAAAGTGATTTAATTCCTAAATGGCAGAGTACTGTGACTTTAGAGACATGATCTACACCAAAACTGCTTAATTAAGCTAGAATATGTTTTGGTGACTATAGTGTCCCTTTAAAGGGCCACTGTAGGCAACCAGACCACTTCAGCCCATTGAAGTGGTCTGGGTGCAATGTCCCTATTGCCATTAGTGCTGCAATGTTGAACATTGCAGTTCCAGAGAAACTGCAATGTTTACATTGCTGCACTAAGTCAGCCTCTAGTGGCTGTCTACCAGATTCCTGGTTTGAAACTGACTTTTTGTCCGGTATCTGACGTTGGACGTCCTCATGCTCTGGGACAGCATGGAATGCCGTAACATTGTTAAAGTGTTAATGTAAGCTTTCCAGCCACAGAATTTGTGGATTGTAAGTTTACCTCCACTTAGATATACATTTAAGCTATAAATTGTGCTGACGTAAGTGCTAGCATCTTTATAAGTTAAAGAAAGACTATAAGGCATGGAGACGCTGAAGGTCTTCCAGACCCAGGAAGCACCTCTAGTGGTCAACTGAGGAGTGGCCACTAGAGGTGTTCATAGGCTGCAATGTAAACACTGCCTTTTCCATAAAAAGGCAGTGTTTACAACAGGGCTTTCCAACCTGCGGCCCCCCAGATGTTGCTGGACTACAACTCCCATGATTCTTTCAATGAAACAGATAGCCAGGGAATCATGGGAGTTGTAGTTCAGCAACATCTGGGGGGGCGGCAGGTTGGACAGCCCTGGTTTACAACAAAATACCTGCAGGGACATGGTATAGACACCAAAACAACTACATTAAGCTGTAGTTCTAGTGACAATAGTGTCCCTTTAATAAATATTCTCATTTTAGGTCAAATACCCCCACCACTGAGAAAGGGACAGGAAATAGGACCAACTGCCTTTACAAAATTATTTTTGTTATGCAAGACTTATATTTGGTTTAATCATTGTTTTAATAATAGGACCAATAATATGAATTACTAGATGTGCCATCGGTTTCAGAAGAATCGCAAAATAACAGACAAGTATGGTCTTTTGTCATTTAGTCTGAAAAAGAAATAAAATCACTATTCTGTGAATGTCAGAATTACTAAATGGTTCAACGAACGAATATCGTTTGGACAGATTGAGATTGAGTGAGTGTTTTGGACCCCAAAATCAGGACTGTCCAGCCAAAACCAGGATTGTTGGGAGGCCTGTTAATCTTGTCAACTAGAGATTTTCCAAGTTTTTTTTAAAATTAAACTGAAGGAAGGTACTAAAAGTATGCAGTGTAGAGTATCAGAAACATTCAGTCAGTTGCTTAGGGTTAGGGTAGCGCTACCTTCCTGATGCTGAATTGTTGGACAGCGTGTTTAGTTTTAGACCTGTGTAAAGCTGAGCTCTTTATTATTATTTTTAACTGTTTGCAAGAATATAACTGAACTTTGAACACTGACTGAGACAGTTATGTTGAGTTGGTCATTAGATTGGACTGTGTTCTCTTCTTCTGGCAGTGTGCCGTCTTGCCTCAAAATATCGCTGTATGGGTAAGCATTAGATTGGTTGAGATCATCAAGACTGATGATCACAGCCCGGAGGCAGGGCAGCCTCAGTGAGACTGGTGCATTGGGGGGGAGTAGGGAAAATTATTTTTTTTACATTCTGGGGGACCAATAATTAAATCAGGTAGGGTAACACTATAGCGTTAGAAGTGCATGTTTTTATTCCTAACGCTACTAGTGTTCCTTTAACCCTTTTTTCATGAGATGCATCTTTTATTTTAAGAATACAAGAGGGGAAGAGTCTGCGCTAACTCAATTGAGCAGCAACCCTAAAAAGGGAATCCCTCGCGAAATCCTTTTAGAAACAAGAAGGTACAAAAAGAGGAGTTAAGGGCTGCGCTTTGACAAAGATGAGTAAAAAAGTAATATATGGAAAAAATAAATAATAAGGATAAAAACACTTAAAGTTCATCCGAATAAATAAGAATATAAATTAAAACAGTCTCACTGATGTGCAGTAATATAATATAAGTCCTCAAGTGTCGCTCCGTCCTTATGGTAGGTAGTCCATATATGTGAAGACAAAAATAAGAGAAAAAAGCTTCCAATGGTGAAATATTGTATGTCCAAAATATGGTATATATTCAAATGAAAAGTATTTCACTCACGTGTGTTGGAGCTCTAGGAGAAGAGGCACAACTAAGTGCCTCTTCTCCTAGAGCTGGTTAGAGCTCCACCACACGTGAGTGAAATACTTTTCATTTGAATATATACCATATTTTGGACATACAATATTTCACCATTGGAAGCTTTTTTCTCTTATTTTTGTCTTCACATATATGGACTACCTACCATAAGGACGGAGCGACACTTGAGGACTTATATTATATTACTGCACATCAGTGAGACTGTTTTAATTTATATTCTTATTTATTCGGATGAACTTTAAGTGTTTTTATCCTTATTATTTATTTTTTCCATATATTACTTTTTTACTCATCTTTTATTTTAAGTTTATATTAAAGCACTTCCACCCCATAACAATGCCAGCTCACTAAAGTTGCTAAGGGGAAAGGAGTATCCACGTGCCATCTTACTTTTAGAGATTAAACAATTTTCTAACAGTTTAACCCTGATACTGTTCCTCTGGTGCCTTACATTGTTGACCCCTGACTTCCCTCATCCTGGTCACCTCAGTATGACCAGGCAGCTGGTGATGGGATTAGTATGCAATAACTCTTTAAATGGATGACTGGAGATAGACTGAGAGAATCATTGAAAGCACTCAGCCTATAACCAGCTCCCCTACAAAAAAATGTTATGGAGGAAGGGGGAAGTGCTATTTGGGGTTACACTACTGGAGAACAGCTCAACTAAACCCTGAAGGTAGATGGTGTCTGGACACTCCTGCCACATAACAACTTCAATCAGCTGACATTCTTATATGTATGGGAGTGTTCCTTCAAAGATTAGCAAATGACTTCACAATACAGACAAGGCAGTGCAATCATTACAAAAGGAGTGTTTCTTTAATTTGCTACTCTGTATAATTTCATGTTGATGACTGCCAGGTGCAAAGGACAGAGCTTATAACAATGATTGACACTGAGCTAAGATAAATGTGCCCAATTACAGAATATAGTAGTGTTGATTTCTACATTTAATTCTATTTTGCACACCTCATAAATTCGTTTTTATGAAAAAGAGGGGAAGAGTAAACATTTCACTGAAATTCCAACCCAGTAAAAAGATATACTGAGACAAAGCATGGACTACTTTATCTTAGTATTTTTCCTCCACTTTACAAACTTTACATAAAGGCGGAGTAGATTCCTCCACAGATCCCAATGCTGTACTCTTGCTCACGTGTTAAAATACAACACTGGCGTTAATCCTGGTAGATGAAGCGCAAGAAGCTGAAAAAGAGCAGATGCCCGCAAGGGACACCATTCCCTGGCCCCCATGGTCACAGTACCCTCAGCAGCGATGTCTCTGTCGGAGGTCTTTGCAAATTACACAAATACCTTAGATGGTGACAGAGCCGCATTAAGTATCTGATTGAGATTAAAAACAAACAAAGTGGTGAGAGCACTCTACATGAATATAAAACAGTCTGAAAAAAATCAGAAAAAAAGAGACATAGGGTAATAACGTCACAGTGTAATAAATAACCACCAAATACTGGTCTCACTCACATAAGTGGAGCCACTTAGAAGTTGGCTCAAACTTGGTGCCTTAAACAAATAAGGAAACAGGACTTCTGGCAGGAACTCCACTCTGCTATATCTGGTACCTCCAAATTCATCCAGGACGCAGGATGTAGGGGGTTACAAATACTTTATTGCTTATAACAAATAAAATAAACAAAAAAATAAATAACAGGCAGAATGTCCAAACCAAATAAGTAGTCCAATCTCAACGCCTTTCGGCTTATAGCCTACTCAGGAGTGTTCTATATCTTCAAGGTGTTTCTCTTTTATATCCTCTTCCATTTCGCGCACTTTTTGCGGCGCTCTTCCGGTTCCGGCGTCGGTGTCATGACGTCAACCCACGTCCTTACGTCCCGACGTATACACTTCCGGTTCCTGTATACGTCACCGGAAGGACCGTCGGGGCGTCTAGGGATGACGCACGGCATCCTTATCCATGGTTAAAAGTCCGCCATAACTATTAAGGGCATAGTCTCTATTGATACCAAATTTATACATATATCATTCAGCATTTAGAAAGTCTGGACGGCTTAAAACATAAATATAAAATACAATAATTAACAATCAACATATTCAAAATACAAATCCATAAAAGTTAAGACACAAGAGAATGTAATACTAAAATCACAAAATGAATAAAATATATAAAAACAATATCTACTAAGGAGGTCTCCATACTTAAAAATATTATAAAAAACTTAGTTAAAGTATTTGATATGAAGGGTCATATTAAGAAAAAAAAAAGGGGGAAGAAAAGGGTAAAATAGGTTAAATATATGAATTAATATCGAAGTCGACGTTTAATCCCTGTGGAGCTAATGTTTCTAATTCGAACATCCATTTCATCTCAGTTAACCCTAAAGTGCGTTCTTTATCCCCCTCTCTCCAATGAATATTAGTTTTATCAATACCTATAAAATTAATCCCTTTAGGGTCTCCATTATGGACCTCTAAATAGTGTTTAGAAACACTATGATTTATAAATTTTCTTTGGATATTGTAGATATGTTCCCTAATTCTTGATTTGAGGGGGCGTGAGGTCTTACCTACATATTGGTAACCATACTGGCAATACAGCATATAGATAACGTCTTTAGTTGTGCATGTAATAAAAGAACGTATTGGGTATTCTTTTTTGATGACAAAAGAGGTAAATTTATCTATTTTCCGGTTAGTATTAGATCTAAATTTACATCCTCTACAGTTGCCACAATAATTAAACCCTTTACTTCCTTGTAAAAACTGTTTATTAAAAAAATCATCACTTTTATCTAAAAAACTTTTAGTTAAGATCTGTTTAAAATTTCTGGCTCCTCTAAAAACAAATTTTGGTTTAGGATTTAAAAATGGAACAATTTCTGTATCTTCGTGCAATATATGCCAATGTTTAGTGATTAACTTCCGCAGCTCATAATTATTAGAACTAAAATCAAAAATTAGGGGAATTTTAGCGTCATCTTCCCTTAAATTTTTATTCTTATACTTAAGTAATGATAATCTATCATTATCTCCAATTTCCTTTTTCACTTCTTCCAGATTAACTTTATCGTACCCTTTTTCTATAAACTTATATTTTAAAATTTCTGTTTGATTCTGATATTCCACCTCCTCGGTGCAATTCCGTTTTAATCTTAAAAACTGGCCTTTAGGTATATTATTAAGCCAGGGTTTAAAATGACAACTTTTTAAATCAATAAAACTATTAACATCGACTTTCTTAAAAAACGTCTTACTCTTAATTTATTTCTCCTCTATATATACAATTAAGTCTAAAAAATTCATTTGTTTAGAACTAATTTCATAAGAAAGTTTAATATTAAAAACGTTTTTAATATTAAACTTTCTTATGAAATTAGTTCTAAACAAATTAATTTTTTAGACTTAATTGTATATATAGAGGAGAAAAAAAAAGAAATTTTAAAATATAAGTTTATAGAAAAAGGGTATGATAAAGCTAATTTTAGGGTTAACTAAGTTTTTTATAATATTTTTAAGTATGGAGACCTCCTTAGTATATATTGTTTTTATATATTTTATTCATTTTGTGATTTTAGTATTACATTCTCTTGTGTCTTAACTTTTATGGATTTGTATTTTGAATATGTTGATTGTTAATTATTGCATTTTATATTTATGTTTTAAGCCGTTCAGACTTTCTAAATGCTGAATGATATATGTATACATTTGGTATCAATAGAGACTATGCCCTTAATAGTTATGGTGGACTTTTAACCATGGATAAGGACGCTGTGCGTCATCCCTAGACGCCCCGATGGTCCATCCAGTGACGTATACAGGAACCGGAAGTGTATATGTCGGGACGTAAGGACGCGGGTTGACGTCATGACGCCGACGCCGGAACCGGAAGAGCGAAATGGAAGAGGATATAAAAGAGAAACACCTTGAAGATATAGAACACTCCTGAGGAAGGCTATAAGCCGAAAGGCGTTGAGATTGGACTACTTATTTGGTTTGGACATTCTGCCTGTTATTTATTTTTTTGTTTATTTTATTTGTTATAAGCAATAAAGTATTTGTAACCCCCTACATCCTGCGTCCTGGATGAATTTGGAGGTACCAGATATAGCAGAGTGGAGTTCCTGCCAGAAGTCCTGTTTCCTTATTTGTTTAAGGCACAAGTTTGAGCCAACTTCTTCACTTATGTGAGTGAGAACAGTATTTGGTGGTTATTTATTACACTGTGACGTTATTACCCTATGTCTCTTTTTTCTGATTTTTTTCAGACTATTTGACTGCCATTTGGGTATTGTTTTATATTCATGTAGAGTGATCTCACCACTTTGTTTGTTTTTATTTTCACTTATTGTATTTGCGGTTTGTGGCCCACGAAGGTGATTGTAGCACCACTTTCCAGTAATCTTAATCTATCCGTATTTATACTATATCTGATTGAGATACAGTAGAAGACTGAAGAAGGGGGCTGAATAGTGTTTTTAACACTATGGGGTCAAATACTGTTGTAAAATATGATAAAATAAGTAAAAATACAGCATATGGACCTAGATTTTAAAGCATACAAAATGCCTTGGCAAAACGTGATCCATATTACTACATTTTTCTCCCCCAAAAAAGCATGTTATTTTGTAATGTGCTCCATTAATATGCCTGGTTTCAAATGTTCTAGCAGTTATGCCAAACTATAAACTAAATAAGTTAACAAAATTAATGACTCCAAGATTTATGAGATAAGAATACTTTAGTTCACTCTTTTGTATCTGAAAATACAAGCCCAAGAGTCTTATTCACTAAACAGTGAGCTGCACATTTCAATAGAGTAGAAAAATCAATTAAAAAAAAAAAAACTGGATCTAAAGAAATTTGTCAACTCCTCTACTTTCCAACTCACGGTGAATAAATCTTTGCATTTGTTAATATCTGTAATAGGCAAGTAAATTGTATGAATAATATCCAAACAAATAATGTGCTTAAACTGTATATTTATGGCTTACCACTTTTACCACTTCTCTGAAACTGCTATGTTTCTAAAAAAAAAAAATGGGTTAACCCTAGCTGGACCTGGCACCCAGACCACTTCATTAAGCTTAAGTGGTCTGGGTGCCTAGAGTGGTCCTTTAATGCTGTTTCTGTTGATATGTAAAATAAAAAAGGACTATAGATTAGGAATGATTGTAAGTAAAAAGTTCACTTAACATGTAAAATCATAAATTATTCAATTAAGCATTACAAAAATGATGTGGATTCACAATGCATGCTGTTTGCAATATTTACAGACACACATTGTCTGTAAACTATAATAAATCATACAGAATGTAAAAAGAGGAACAACAAATGGGTATGGAAAGAAATATAAAAAAAAACAAAAAACCGCATGCACTCCTTATTCTTATGGTTGTTTGCACATAACAGAGATTTAAGATGTGTGACATATTTCTAATTAATATTGCACTGATACCAATATAGTACAGATCTAAACTAACAGTATTTAAAAAGAATTATATATGATATTTACATTGACATGACATTTCGAAAACAAGAGATACTCACATATCCTACGCTTCTGCAGATTCTAATCCTCAAATCTTCTCTGATCACAATATATTAACATAAAACACAGTTATAACTAATGTAGCTGTTTCGTTATGATTAAAGTACGTGCTAGGTGATCGACTGATTCCTCTCTGTGAGGAAAACAGAGTAGTTTTCGAGTTTCGATTCAGTGTTATTACTCACTGTCACATGTTATCTTTAGCCAATCAGTGTCATGTTTCCTGGTAGTTACGTTCTGTTTGTTTATCATCTAACTTTCTATTTCTCTGCAGTCTATTTCAGAGTAAACCTAATGCCCTAAATGTTTACAGTAAAACATGGAGGAATAGAGGAATGTATATTGCTAGCATAGCTCAGGAGACAACACAGTGAATACTGAATTTTTTTGCTAAACGAAAAATACATTTTTTTGCTAGAAATTAAGGAGAAATATGTATACTTTGTAAGCACAACGAATACTACTTCAATTTCATGTAAAATAAGTAATTAAATTAATGATTGTGGGTATTATATTACTTACATTTATTATATAATATAAATATACATAGGCATCAGCAAGAGAGGGCACTTGCTCCCCCTCCGCCCTGGATTGTTGTACTTGCCGATTAACCCCTTAACCCCTTAAGGACGGAGCCAAATGTACACGTTGTGAACGAAACAAAATGTAAACAAAACCTGGCATTTGCGCTACATGTCTGTCCAACCGTAATTCAACTCTTTCATAGTAAATACACCCACTCTTATTATATATAATTTTTTTCAGGGGAAACAGGGCTTTCATTTAATATCAAATATTTAGCTATGACACATAATTTAATATGAAAAAACAGGAGAAAATAAGATTTTTTTTTTTTGATTTTTTTTTAGTTCTACATGACATTTTAACTGTCAATGTCATAATTCTGTTTGCTTTTACTGCAATAAAATACACATATTTGTATTCAGCAAAGTCTCACGTGTAAAACAGTACCCCCTATGTACAGGTTTTATGGCGTTTTGGGAAGTTACAGGGTCAAATATAGCACGTTACATTTGAAATTGAAATTCGCCAGATTGGTTACGTTGCCTTTGGGACTTTATAGTAGCCCAGGAATGAAATTTACACCCACAATGGCATACCATTTGCAATAGTAGACAACCCAAGGTATTGCAAATGGGGTATGTCCAGTCTTTTTTAGTAGCCATTTGGTCACAAACACTGGCCAAAGCTAGCGTTAGTATTTGTTTGTGTGAAAAATGCAAAAAACGCCAATTTTGGCCAGTGTTTGTGACTAAGTGGCTACTAAAAAAGACTGGACATACCCCGTTTGCAATACCTTGGGTTGTCTACTATTGCAAATGGTATGCCATCATAGGGGTAATTTTCATTCTTGGGCTACCATAGGGTCTCAAAGGCACCGTAACCAATCTGGCGAATTTTAATGTGAAAAAAATGAAACGCAAGCCTTATATTTGACGCTGTAACTTTTGAAAACACCATAAAACCTGTACATGAGGGTACTGTTGTACTCGGGAGACTTCGCTGAACACAAATATTTGTGTTTCAAAACAGCAAAAAGTATTACAGCAATAATATCGTCCGTGTAAGTGCTGTTTGTGCATGAAAAATGCAAAAAACGTCACTTTTACTGGCGATATGATCGTTGTAATACATTTTACTGTTTTGAAACACTAATATTTGTGTTAAGCGAAGTCTCCCGAGTAGAACAGTACCCCCCATGTACAGGTTTTAGGTGTCTTGGAAAGTTATAGGGTTAAATATAGTGCTAGCAAATTAAATTCCCTTTACTTTCGGCATGGGTTGTCAGGCAGGTCCCGCTAATTGTAATTAATTAAGATACCTAATTATGTAAAAATATTACATAAATATATATGTAGAATTAATATATGTATATATATACGTATGTGAATCTATATGTGTGTGTGTGTGTATATATATATATATATATATATATATTTGTGCTCGGAATTTAAATACGTTATGGATAGTAACTGTGAGCAAAGTTGGTTGTGGTGTGCCGAAACCAACGTACGAGTGGGCCTGTAAATAAAAGAGGGCAAAAAGATAAATTCGAGAAAATACACACTTATATATATATATATATAATTTTTTAAAAATATTTTTATTTATATATAGGTATATATATATATATATATATATATATATATAGTGATATATATGTATATATTTATGTATGTAGATATATATATATTATTTAGATTCTATGTGTATTTTTATATATATATATATATATATATATATATATATATATATATATATTTATATATATATATATATATTATTATCACAATACAGTTACAACGAAATAACACACATCTATATATTTTTAATTTTTTTTAATTTTTTTTAATTTTATTTTTTAACGTATTTACATATTTAATTTTTTTATATTATATATAAATATATATATAACAATAATTATATGTATATTTAATCAGTATCAGTCTACGTGTAATTTGATATATATATATATATATATATATATATATATAATTATATATATATATATTAATAGTAAAATACACCTAGACAGTGTACGTGTGTATGTATATGTGTATACTATATAATATATATGATCTAAGTATATATATATATATATATATATATATATATATATATTTATTTATTTTTTACACTTAATTAATTTATTTTAATTTTATTTCCAGCCAGCAGGGGGACCACCTGTCATTACAGGCAGCCCCCCTGCTGGCAATACAGAAGTCAGCTATCCCGGCCATGTGATTGTGCGGTCCTCGCAAGGACCTCACTCTCACATGGCCGGGAGGGCTTCCAGGGGGTCGGACGTGCCGCGGGGGGCACCCTGGGGTAAGTAAAGAAAGACCGGAGGGCGTATAATTACGCCCGGCAGCGTTTAGAGCCGTCTAAAATAGGGCGTAATGTACGCCCTCCGGTCTTAAGGGGTTAAGGACTGAGGCAGTTGTACAAATCCAAATCTAAACAAAACCTTGAATTTGCGCTATATGTCTGTTCAACCGTAATTCACCTCTTTCATATTAAATGCACCCACACGTATTATATATAATTTTGTTCAGGAGAAATAGGGTTTTCATTTAACATCAAATATTTAGCTATTAAAAGATCACCATAGTCACCCAGACCACTTCAGCTCAATTAAGTGGTCTGGGTGCCAGGCAGGGCCAAATTAAGAGCCCAGTGGGCCTGGCGCTGACAATTATGAGGGGACTAAGTACACAAAGAACACTAAGACAGTCATACCTCTCAAGCGCTTTGTAACTAGTGGAGATGTTGCCAGAGGGAAACTAATAAGATGCACCTATAAGAAAACTCAGATTCTCTTAAAATATGCTAATCTCTCTCTAATTCATGCTTTCATCTTTTCATCCATTCCCCCTAACAGCAGTGTCCAGTAAAGCAGGAAGTGAATGGGCGGTGTAAAAGGGTGGGCCACTGACGTAATCATGTAACCAGAGCTCCCGAAAGGAACGAACATGACCAAAAAGGAGGCGTCTGCCTAAAGAGTTGGAAGGCTAGCGTGGCATAAATACATGTCAGGCTGCCTGCCAATCATTCATGCTGGCCAACAGCATCCTGAGCTTGGCATAAATGCGTCTAATGATGCGCTCGATCCATGCTTTCTAAGGACTGTCACCTAGCACTTACATGTCCACTTGTCTCCTTACCTTCTTATTAGCAGGCAGAAGCTCCTGGTATTCAGTCTGAGATAGAGAAAATGTGGATGTAGTGAGTGTAGAAGAAAGGTAATATGCCATAATGTTAGAGAGACCAAAGTCATCATTACCTTAACTAATTTCATTTCAGCTAGTCCACACAAGATTTGTTTCGATATATCCCTCTTAAGTTTCCATACCTGAGCAAAAGTATGTGAAGAGTAGTTAGGGTTACCACCTTTCGTGGAAAAAATACAGGCCTCTACTTATTTGCATAACTAATTATGTATGCGTGACATCACATAATGTAAATCACAAGGAGTAAGAGAAAATTCTGTGAAATCACCAAAAAACTACTTACAGTTTGATTCTGCTGTATAGATGGATTGCTCCCAGTGTGTCTCTGTTTCCCAGTGTCACCATGTTGCCCAGTGTCCCCATTTCTCCCACTGTGAGACACTTGGGGACACTGAGACACTTGGGGACACTGAAACCATGTGTCACAGTGTCCCAATGTATCACAGTGTCTCAGTGTCCCCATGTTGCCCAGTGTCCCCATTTTGCCCAGGGTCCCCTAGTCGCTGTGTCCCCATGTCTCTCAGTGTCCCCATGCCACTTGGGGACACTGGGAGACATTGGAGCACAGACACTGGGGGACATGGGGACACTGAGACACTAGGGGCACTGGGAGACATGGGCAAACAGACACTAGGGACACTGGGAGATATGGTTACACTAGGCACACTGGTTAGGAGACATGGGGACACTGAGACAAGTGTGTCTGTGTCTCCAAGTGTCCCCAAGTGTCTCAGCATCCCCAGAGGTCTCCCTGTCTCTCCGTGTCTCACAGTGTCCCCTAGTGTCTGTGACCCAATGTTTCCCTGCAGCCTTTACCCCATCTCTCCCTTCTCTGAACTGTAGCGCTGTCTCTGCAGGCTGGGAGTTGCTATCTGGACTCTCTGTAGCTACTCCACCACGGAGCAGTGAGTAGAGATGCAGGTATATGCTGTAATTTCCTATCCCTGCCTCTCTCCACACACACACTCTCTCCTTACTGGCCAGTGCTGGTATTGCAGAGTAATCTCTGTTTATACTGAGAAAAATACTGACATTTGTATTGTCGGTAATACTGCAATATTGGCACCAGCCAGGCAGCCTCAAATAGATACTGGCTGGTGCCAATATTGCAGTATTACCGACAATACAAATGTCAGTATTTTTCTCAGTATAAACAGAGATTACTCTACAATACCAGCACTGGCCAGTAAGGGCCGCTGTGTGTGTGGAGAGAATGTTAAAAAAAAATAGTTTAAAAAAAAAATATATATATTTTTATATGAAAGCCTAATAAGGTACACACTTCTCTCTGGGGCGGTCTACTGGTTCGGTAGATTTCATTCGTATGGAATACGGATGAAACTACCAAACATACGAATCTTTTAAATATAACCCTTGATGACAATCCAGCGCCATCTGCTACACTGCACCCCCTTGCCCACAAG